TGCGTCTAGTTCCATGGTGAAATGTTCTCTTTGAACAATTTGCAACCAGTAGAGGCGTGCGTTTGATAGCTCCGAAGCTGTCAATTCACCGAAAGTCTTCTCCTTCTGCCTTATATTTTGTTTGAAGCGGAGCACCCACGCTGTAATTCGGAGTAACTTCCAGTAGGAACTGTACCGTGTAGCGTCTAGAAGAGGGGTCGATGTTTTCACTATGAGGACCTGATGATTCAATTTCCTTACTTCCGGCAAAGGAGTGTCCGTTGTAGGTGCATCAAGTGGCCAGTGATGCACAGGCTTTGACAGCCAAGAAGGTCCGTGCCACCAGATATCAGAATTCTTGAGTTTGTCTGCTGTTACACCTCTCGAAAGAAGATCCGCTGGATTCTCCTTTCCAGGGCAGTGTCTCCATTGTGATGTATTCGTGTGATTATGAATCTCGGTGACACGGTTGGACACGAAAGGCTTCCATCTATTGGGGTCGTGGCGTATCCAGCCTAGGGTTACAGTTGAATCGGTCCATAGCAATGCGTTTCTGACATCGAAATTCGTAGCTTCACAAAGGTAGCGTAGCAGTCGTGACCCAAGTAACGCTCCCAGAAGCTCTAATCGAGGTAGTGTGACCCTTTTAACTGGCGCAAGCCTGTTTTTACTACAAAGTAAGCGGACAGAATAATGATTGCAGGTGGAGGTGCGAACATAGAGAACCGCTCCATATGCTCCTTCCGATGCATCACAGAATACATGGATTTCATAACTGTCTTTATCTGAAGTACCAACCCATCGGGGAATGAGTATATCAGATGGTGAGGGCAGGGTTGATACCCACCTATGCCATCGTGTGCCAAGATCGGGTGGCAAAAGCTCATCCCATCCTATACCCCTAGTCCAGGTGTCTTGGAAAAGTGCTTTTGCTATGAGAGATACGGGTGACAGCAATCCCAGTGAATCGTAAAATCTTGCAGCGGTTTGCAGTAGCTGTCGCTTGGTTACAGGACCATCCCTCAAATTGTTCGTGACGTTTTTACGATCCACGGTGAACGTGTCGGTTCTTGTATTCCAATGTGTCCCTAATACCTGCGTTTCCATATTGATTACTAGGCCCTCTGTCTTCCATAGTTCCATCAAAGGCTGCGAGTTCGTAGCCCACTTTGCCATTGGTAGACGAATTCGTCCCATGAGCGAAGTCACTTCATTGTACAGGTTGATCACTCCGTCGTCGTCCTCAGCACCGGCAGCGAAATCATCCATGTACATATTCTTATCAACAAGGGACGTAGCTTGAGGAAATATATGCTTGTACATTGTGGCAAGTTCTCGCAGCGTGGCAGAGAGGAGGAAGGGGCTACAGGTAAGTCCGAATGGAAGTCGGGTGAAGCGATACGTGATCAGATCGCTGGTTGTGATGTATTCCCTTCCTGGTCCAAGATTACTCTATACCACAGGAACCTTGTAAGATCTCTGTGTTTTCGGTGTAACACTAATTGCAAGAATGCCTGACTGATGTCTCCGATCAAGGCAACAGGATACAGTCGAAATCGTAATAATATTGCGAATAGATCTGGAGAAAGATTCGGACCCATTTCCAAAGAGTCATTAAGGGAAGGTGCATTGTTGAGCCGTCAAAAACGATCCTCCATTTTGTAGTTCCGAGCTTTTCCTTCTTTACGGCATGATGGGGCAGATAGAACATTTGGCAGGAGTCCTCTTCAGGTGGGGCTATTTCTATGTGTTCCTTCTTAATGTGATCCAACATCTGGGTTTGGTACATTTTTTTAAGATGAACGTTCCTTTCCAATTTCGTCTGTAGTGAGAAGAATCTCTTCTCCGCCTCGTGTCGGTTGTTGGGTACAGTGACATTTTCTTTCCTGGGAAACGAAACCACTCTTCTCTGATCCTCGAGACAGAATGAGGCAGCAAACTCTTGAAGTAAAGCCGAATCCTTGGTTTTCCATGATGCCTATGGTTTCCAAGTCCCAGAAGCGTCGTAAGATATCTTCAGAGGGCGATGATGTGTTTAGTTTCACGTAGTTGACCGTTAGAAAGTTTACTGTGATGCCTGATCTGTTTCCGCTAAGTACCCAACCCAATTTAGAGGGAATTAGCACGACGGATGACGTGAGACGGATTGGCGAAGCGTCCTTGACAATTTTCCAATAGTTATCTCCGCCGATAAGAATCTCGATGGGAAGGTCTTCCGAGTCATTCTTTGGGTCAGCTAACTGAAGTTTACGCGTGTGACTCAGCATCCTCACATCGTGTGGTACAGTCGGGTGTGGAGCAAGGAGTGGAAGCTCTCGAATGCAGTAAGAGAAATGGTGGAAGATCCCTTTCATATCAAACCGGACGCGTCTGCGTTGACTTGAAGTGGCAGGTGACGTCTCAAAAGCACTGACACATAGGTCGCGACACTCCATCACGTCTAGTTTCAAGTCGTCTATAACGGACCTTGCGATAAAACTGGACTGGCTCCCACTGTCTAGCACGCAGCGAGAAAGTTTGCTTAGTCCTGTGGGTCCTGTGACCCATACTCGCGCAGTTTGTAAGTAAAGCCCGGTCTACACGTAACGTCTTATCGTACGTTTTGTTTGATCAGTTAAGACGTATAGGTCAAAATGTTACGTATGGACAGAGAAACGGACGTTTTGCCTGAACTGAATGAAGACGGACGTCTCTCAGAAAACGGATCGGTTAGAGCATTGTTTTCCGGTAAAACGTCAGTCTTTGTAGCTTCTACCTGTCGCTAGAAATCTTAGAGTAGCAGTCAGTCTCTCATGGGTGTGATAGCCCTTCTCATGGTAGTGTCCTTTTTTGTATTTCTGGAGTTACTAACGATAGTAATTTCAAATAAGTGTCCGTATCCATTCGTAAATAATTACGCCAATCTTCAGGTTCATGACGTAATTCCCGAGACTACATGGCATAAGAACTCAGGAGACAGGTAACTTCTCATCAGTTTATGGCTTATTCATTAGGTGCCACATTTCTTAAAATCAAACTTTGGTAACCAAGTCACATTAGTTCTATAATTGTAGACGAGGAAATAAATAAATACCAAATTTGAGGTTGTTATACATGAAATTTTCTCAACGTTGTAATGCATCTGGCCACGTTCATCCTTTATTATGAGATATGTTGGCAGTTTATGTATTAGCCCAGTTTTTTAAAGTGATTCTGTGAAGGATGTAATTCAGAGTGATACATCTTGTACGTAGCATGGAATTTTAAGAAAATCCAAACTGAGATTCACCTTTGAATATTATCTTGTTAAATGTATCTTTTAATTTAAATATCGGGGCACCTATTTTATGTCATGTTGTTCGTTGAACTTCCTGAGATTTTTTTGCCAGAGGTTTAAATTGTATCAGACAAATTATAATACATGACAGAAACACAGTTTTCGTCAGTTTTGTGCTATAAATATGTCTTGACATGCTTGATCCTATGTGAATATTCCAGCGATATTCAAGGATAGTAATAAAATAATACTCACCTTCGGTTTTCAGGGCATTTATTGCTGTAAATGTTGAAAGTTTTGTCACTCTTCCACTGCTCCTATGAAAAAACTATAACTTACAAATTTCATCACTTGACCTGCTGGTCTCCCACTGGCTTGCAGCAGTTATTCCTTGTAGTTTTTTGGGAGGGGGAGGGTGTGAAAAGTCTTAAACACTTTACAAAACACAGTCCTTTGTTACACATCCAACAGTACACAGTTGTAAATATGAAAAAGTATGTTTGTAAAGGAATTTTTGAAAGGTGAGAGATTATGCTCGTACAGTCTCTAGCATCTCATCAGGTGAGGCAGATACCATTGATAGAAGAACTGCTGGGCTCCAAGCATTGAAGCTATTTCTTTCTGTATTTACCAAATTAAAATATGTCTCACATAGACTTTGTAGTGCTCATTGCGTAAACAGTTTTAGTTCATTCAGGTTAGGTTATTGTTTGGTTTATGTCACATTATATTATATTTCTCCAATATTTAAAACTTTGGTTGTTAGAGGAGAAACTTTCTCATTGTTTTGAAGCTAGTCAGTCTATAAATTTTGGGCTTAACTGCAATATTTTTTTCCTTTGTATCTATAAACCATTTTTAAAAATATATCTGGTATGAATGTGTACATGATTGATGGTCGCATTGTTGGCAGGCATGTGGTGCACATGAGGATCAAGAACTGCGGGGGTAAAAGGTGAGAAGCTTAGGAACGTGATCTTGTCCCGGAGGTTTGTGGGCTGGTGCAACGTATTGCCGCACGGCGCAGACATTCCTGATAACTTGAATGTGGATCTGGGTGCAGTACTGGGCCAGGGAAAAGTTGGTTTGGATGTTGCCAGCATTCTGGTTACATCCATTGGCAGACTTAAGGTTGAGCTTGTTTGCGCTTCAAGAAGCATCTGTTCTAAGCCCCATCTTGTTGGAACAGCATCCCGCAGTTTCCTTACATTGGATTGCAAGTGCCGGGGTGTAAATAATGGCAGACTCACCTTCACGTGTTATGTTTTTTTTAAAAAAATGGAGTTGATAGCAGAAATGGTGTGATTGTGTCTGCATCATAATAAAAAATGTCATTACCTTAATTCTAGAAGGCCAAATTATGGAACTATGACCGTTATATCTGTTATGAAAGAGTTGCCATTTTAAAAGTCAGGGTTAAGGCAAAAGTTCAGTTTTGGTTTTGATTTGATTAATGTGCTGACACAAATGAGCAATGTGTGGGAACAATTCATTTCAGTCTCTGTAGAGGTGTCAGCGGAACCAAAGATTTATTACAATAGGAATTAGTTTTATATAAGCAATTGCATGTTGATATTACAACAAATGCCACCCCATAACCGCAGTTATCTCGTTTACTGTTTCTGGAGTGCTTTTATTGTCCTCTTGTAGTTCGTATTGAATTTTATGAAAATCAATCAGTCATTTCAATAATCATTAAATAAACACATACACATGAATACAATACTACAAGACCTATTCTTATGAACTGAGGGAGATGGTTTAAAGTAGGAGCTTAGTTTTTAACAAGCCTGTAGGCAAAATAATTTTTGAAGATTCTCAATGAAATTAGCAGCTGCAGAACCATGGAATTCCAAACCTAAAAGGAACAGTTTGCAATGCGTGAAAATTGAAGCACTTACTTTGTGTATAACATTTCGTGATTTTTCCAGAGTACTAACACCAGAGAGCGCTAATAGCCAGAGTACCCGATGCGCCTATCAACCCATAACATATAGCAGAGTTTGTCATGTGATGCTGATTGGCGGGCAAGGTGCATTGCAGCTGGCATTCACAATTAAAGAGCTATATGAGATGCTGGCCCTTCCAGGCTGTCAGATTGTGTAATCTGCCGCATTTTGAAGCTGTCCTTCGTCTAATTACAAGTGAGTGCATAATCATGGGTTTACACACAGTGTGCCATAGTACAGGGAGCTTTTGTGTATTGGCTCTGTCATTAGAGTCTGTAAGCTGTTGTAGTTTATGAAACCAGCTGTATAGTTCTTTTTCTGCGCACACGTAGTAATGAAATTGAATTAGAATGTTACAGTTTATCTTATTAATGTCTACAGCTCTAATCTCATGCATCAGCCACTCCGTTTTGATTGAAATAACGTGAATATGTATTATTGTATATTTTCATGTAATGTGGTAGTGCAGTTGAAGTTGAAGTCGAAGTCGAAGTCCTTTTCATTTTTAAGGGTAGTTGTCTTCTTCTGTGTTGTAGCAATGTGTAGTCTTGTAGGAGTTTGGCTAGAGCAATTTTGCTTCCAGTTGTCTGTAGAAGGAGAATGGGAACTTGAAAAATTCTGCTACATCAAAGATTACACTTCCTGTCACAGAAACAAAGCCTTTCTTTCTCCCAAATGAAACATGTTGCTCTTGGCACCGACACAGGCTGCGTGAGCAAGCACCGGGTACGTGGACCGTGGCAGCCGAGGAGCCAGCGTGTGTCCAGTGGGGTTCTACGGGCCGATGTGTAAGCGAAGAGTGTGAAGAGCGCCGAGCACGGGGACCAGATGGACTCGAAGGAGAGTGCGAGAGTATGTGTGTGTGTGTGTGTGTGTGTGTGTGTGTGTGGAGAGAGAGAGAGAGAGAGAGAGAGAGAGAGAGAGAGAGAGAGAGAGAGAGAGAGAGAGAGAGAGAGAGAGAGAGAGAGAGAGAGAGAGAGAGAGAACAGAGACTCGAAGACTGTTGTTGTGGTATAGAGTTGACTGTATGTGCAGACCTCTGTAACTGATTTAATGTAACGTGAATAAATCAGGGTTGACAATCCAGGGTAGCAATACCAACCCACGTTACAATATTAAATTTATGAAATAATTTTCCACACGATACCCTGCTTTTGACACCTGCCATTATTCTAATTATTTTCTTTTGCGTGTAACGGTTTCATTACTCCTTTAGACTGGGTACTTACGTTTGCTACCAACTATACACACATCCTGAAGGGGATCAACTGCGTTTTGTGACATTTCCCTCCACTTAACAAAAATTTTATAACTTTTTTTAATAATATTGCTTATATAACACTAGTTTTAACTTCCAAAATCTGCTTGTGAAACATTGTGTAAATGATTTCTAAAATTCTTTTCCTTGTGTTAATCAAGAAAGGGGCAAAGCGGATATGCATGTACATCAGTCACAAATGACTTCATCTTTTAACACAACTGACATTTATTTTTATAAGTAATGTGTAGTGGTGGCTTGTTTTTGTGAACTGTTTAGGCTTGAATTTTTTTATGTCTGTTTTTGTCCTGCAGATGCCACATCTTTAGTATGAAAGGAATAACAATGTACAATAAAAAATAACACAAATTATGTGTTAAATTTGGAAATATGGGAATCTATGACAAAATTTGTTAATTGTTTAGAAAATATGATATGTAAAGAAATCCACGCTAGTTGACTTGTGGCAAAATCTATTATTAATGTCAGCCATTGGAAGCATTCCAAAAAAGTATAGTACATAGATGAAAGATAAAAGACTAAGCATGCTTATTTTTAATAAGACAGGTCAGTGATTCTCTTCCTTAGTTGTGAGGTGTGAATCATCACAATTTAAAAAAAACCTTGGCTGTTTCTTTTAATATTATCGGTATGTGATGTTCAGTCTGAATGGCACTGGTATTTTTAGGTTAGATTCAGTCAAGTAAATATGAAATTAAGTCTTTTGAAATAGAATAAGTTATGGAATATATAACCTTTAACTTGATTTGTTTTCACATTTCGATGTTGGTTTTGCTGTGAATGTTTTCATATTTGTAACCCTGCTCCAGATTCCGAGACTTCGTTCGTAGGAAACATTAATCATCTTCTGCATATTTGCGTTTTGAAGTGGGTGCTGACACAGACGGCTAGATTTTAAATGCGATATTGTTTCTGGACGTGGCCGATTTGAACCTATCGCCTTATCTAAACGACGGGTTTCATAGTGGGTCTACCTCGCAGTATGTACCCCGCCTTGAAACAGTCAACAAAGGAGCGATTTATGTCGAAGCATATCAATTTTACCGAACGCTATAATGTTCTCTTATTATACGATGGCAGCTGTTTAACATTTGTCTAGAAAAGGTCATTAGAGCAATCAAAACTAACCCTGGAGGACACATCTTTAATAGAATCTGTCAGATACTCGCATACGCAGATGATTTGGTGGCTTTGGGAAGAAGCATGAAGTACCTCACAGAAGCAGTGGAAGAGATAATTACTGCAGCTAAGAAAGTAGGTCTTGAGATCAACAACACCAAAAGCAAGTACATGCTGAACAAGACGAGCGGAGCCAACGAGCCTGGGGCTGTAGAGATTGCTGGGAGGGAATTTGAAAGGGTGGATTCCTTCAAATATCTAGGCTCCTTGATCACAAGCTGTAATGACATCCTCACAGAAACAAAAGCAAGAATTGCTGCGGGTAACAAATGCTACTACGCTCTAGGCCAAGGTCTCAGGAAAAGGTAACCTTAAAGTGCGGTTGTACACTACTATAATACGGATGTGAATGCTGGACTTTAACATCTCTAGCTGAAAGAATGCTTATGTCCTGGGAAAGGAAAATTTTAAGGCAGATTTTTGGTCCAATATGTGACAATGGCTTATGGAGAATTAAAATGAATATCGAGCTGGAGAAGCTGTTCAAAAGCTCAGATATTGTAGCCGTATTAAAGGCATATACTCCGAATGAGTGATGGTAGAGGATGCAAATTAAAGAAAGGAAGACCGAAACTCCGGTGGATCGAAGACGTGGGGTCCGATCTTAAACAGATAGGCGTATGAGGCTGGAGAAGAAAAGCACAGAATAGGGAAGACTGGGCATCGATCACAAGAGAAGCCAAGGCTACACTGAAAGGGCCGTAGTGCTAAAGAAGATTATATGATGGAAAATAACAGATGCAGTTGGTGCAGAATCGTTATAACCCTACAATCAAGCTACATATTGTAACGTGGGACGGTATTTACTACCTAGATTGTCAACCCTTGATTATTCACGTCTGCTACCTCGAATCTGATTGTCCGACTGAATACTTGGTTGGATTGTAAGAGACCAATGTCCTCCAGTAATAATCAATTTAATCAAACTAAAACGTCTTTTACAGCACAAAATGATATACTCTACAACACACTTCATCTACGAGCAATTTACAGCTCAGCTCGCTTCACTCTCCCTTTCCACTCATCATTCCACACTCTCACCTCCTACACTACTCCCAAAACCAACCAACCAACCAAAGAAGCTAACTGAGGGCGGAGGCCTGCGCAAGCGCAAGCATCGTCCCTACCTAGGTCAAACCATTCCTGCGCACAAGACGCATTGCTGGAAATGGTAAACGGTCTTAATATAAGAACGGAAATTTTGCTAACGCTAAAGGGGTTTCGTCGTGGCGGGAGCCTCGACCATTCAAACTGGGATCTGTTGCTGCTGATGGGAGGTTATCCCGTCAGGCAAGTTGTCGAAGGAATTTGGTTGGTTGGGTCTCTGGGGTATGAACCCAGAGAGGGAGGGGCCGTTTCGGCTGAAGGCCTCTGCGGCATGGGGGGAAGATCACTTCAGCTGATGGCCTCCATGATCGGGGGGAAGGGTGGCGGGCCGTGCCCCTATTAAGTTATACCCTGGCATTCGCCTTACAACTGAGGAAAGCACGGAAAACCTCAGTCAGGGTAGCCGAGTAGTCTAACCACTCGTTGTGCTGACTTGGCCGTCTTTTGGGGATGGCTTCGGCTGGCCTGCTGAATATCAGTCGCCCTCGGTTGCCCTTGGGTGAACTCTGGC